GGATCTATTTTTAGAGTAGTAAAGAGAAGAAGACCTAACTAAATACATGTAGAAACGAGTCAAAACTTGTCTATCACAAGGATTTATTATTTTTCTAGTTGTTTGCTCTTTGATCCCAGGAGAATTCTATCACTTCTTCTGAAGATCACTACGACTTCATCTAAAATTTATGTTATCTTCGAAGATCCTATAAATTTACTGTCTAGTACAGTAGATTACAGACAACGTCTAAAAATGCTGAAACAGCAATAAAATTCCGTTGTTATGAAGGAACAGAAACTATTACTAAGGGTATTAAACAGCATTAGAGGTTATTCGACGATAAAATCGCGCTTTTTTTATTATTTTTGAATATTTTTTAAGCAAAAAAGACTATTTTAATGAACTCATGGTTCACATGTATGATTAGCAGGGCTGCCCTGCCCTGTGGACATCTCTGCTTCAGACATATCTAATTTAACCAATAATACCAAATACTAGACATAAAATCTCTTACCTCTATTGGCTGATGATTGAAGCACAAAACATGTTATATTTTTCGATCTCTAATATAAGAATTAGCAGAAAGTGAGCCGAGAATGATAATATTGATTTGTAATCACAAATGTTGTACTAACAGACATCTTTGATGTGTTAGAAATAGTAAGAAATTTACTGAAAAATTAAGTTTTATCTATTTTTATCAAAGAATAATAAAAGAAACAGTTTTTAAACAATTCAATCATTCAGGATCCAATCGGTTTTTAACGGGAGATGTCGGATTAAATCACGTGGGCATGAAAAAAAAATCGATCTTCTTTTTGTAGAATCAAATGATACGATTGATTTTTTAATCTAAAATCAAACTAAAAAATCAATAGTACTCCTACAAATATGATCACCCCACACTAATCTTTTCCCTTTTGCCTATATTAAAAATAAATCTTCAAATCATGATATACATTCTTCCTTTCTTTGCGTATTTTCTTGACATGATTTCTATCAAATGCACTCACAAATGATTTTTCGTATAAATACAATGCAAAGAATGATGTATTTTAATTCATTCATTCACTTATAAAGTCTTTTAAATGTTTCATTCGAAACTATTGATTATTTTGGTATTGATTACAAATGGTTTATCTAAACCATTCGAATCTTCACCTCAACGTTGTTGTTTTCCAAAGCGATATAGTACGAAAATTCGTGTTTTCGCTGAAGAGATATTACGAGATGGATCGGTGATAAAAACTTTTGTAAGTATTTTTCTGAAAACATTTAGAGAAATTTGCAATTATTTTGAAAATTTCTTTTGAATAGAATGAATACGAAGAAGCGCATGACCTTGATAATGGTTTAGTTGCAACAAGAGGACCGACAAATCATTCTGTATTTTATACTCCAAGGCCTTTTCACGATATTGTTGATTATAAAAATAAAGTTCGATATTCACTTTCTCCTGATGGAAATCATTGTGTGAAACAAGATTCCGATTATCCACTAGAAAATTGTATTGAAGGTTAGAATTTTTTCGCTTCTAATATAAATGATTAAGTTTTTTATTTTCTATTCTAGAACGTGAAAGTTATGTCAACTCAGCAGTCTACAATCATAATGGAAACGAAATTCTTGTTGATACATGGGCATATTATGCATATGGTTTGCTTAGTTATCAAACAGTTAGTCGAGATAATTGTATCAAAGTTGAATCAAGATTTTTTCATGAAGATGGTGATATAACATTATTTCTGTTTTTATGAAAGAAAATTCCATATTTATTTTAGGACGGAGTTCAACAAAAGTAACAAGTGATTATAGTCAGGATATTGTAGATCCAAGTATCTTTACAATTCCAAAGGCATGTCAATCTTAAAGTTATGGAAAGTTCTGATCGATCGATTGATTGATTGATTAATTGGTATTTTCAAATGAATAAAAATATCATCCTTATAATAAGTTTCAAGAAAAGAATATTTTATGATGAGCTTGACGTTTGCCAATAATCATTCATTAGCTCTATGAGTAATACAATCGAGGATAGAAAATCGAATATCTTTGTTATTAGTCTTCGTTCTACGGATGAATGAATATATAAATATGGGTTTCATGTTAGAAAAATGTGATTGTTGAAAGAATTCAAAATAGGTGCAATACCATCATTATATACATATCTTCCAGTGACTATCATCACAAGGAAATATATTGATTTTTTTATCGTAATGACTAATAAAAACGAATTTCATTTTGAAATTCAGATAGATTTTTTCAAAGAAATTCTACGTTTAAATAGTTCACTATTAATCTCAAGAGAAATACTTAGGACAACTCAAAACGTGTGAGGAAGGCTTTTTAACCAATCAATAGAGCGTTTTTCACTCTATTTTTCTGAGTTCATGAGGACATTTGATATTGCAACCAATTACGAATTAAATACTTATCGCGACACCAGAGTTAAATATTCTTCATGTAAATCCACGAATCGTTATTTTCCGTGTTCTCATTTTTAAATAGAGAACATTAATATCTAATGAAAAGAAAAGTTTTCAATCTACGGAGTTCTTTAATTGGCAAAGATAGCAGAAGATTATGATAGATTTTGTGAAGTGTATATATATGTGACACCTCCCCCTTCAAGCAAGCAGAACACATGGTAGCGATGCAAAAAATGTTGACAACAGAAAAACAGCAAAGAAAATAAAAGAACGATGATCGATGACGATTAGGTGATCATATTAATAGGATCAAGGGGGAAGCGGATCCTGATGGTTCCTAGGATCCATGACATATTCGCAAAACGAGGATGTGTTTTACTTTATCAATACAAACTATGTTGACCTTCAACTTCTAAAACTCTGTTTTGAATATTCAACAGACTGTTTCATTATAATTTATTAGCAAAAGACAAATTAGACGAGCTGTAACTGTTATTTGATAATGTTACATCGATTCATAATCAATAATATTACATTTACTAATACCCAGTAACTGCCGCGGACATGATTACTTTTCAGTGCATGGGACAATAGCTGTTCATCTTCACATATGTTCGTTTTACATCTGGTAGTCATCTAAAGGACAAAATATTTTTGTAGTTCTCAACTATTTGGTGTTAGTGGCAAGATAATGAGAGAGTAAGAGTTTGATTTACAAACTGGCTGTTTTCAGTGCTAAATAAGAGCTTGCAAACAGTTTAATTAGTTGATAGCCTTCGAAAGCAATCTTTGTCAGGCGTACTTTTATTTCAATAAACGAAAATAATGAAAATAAAGTGCGTCAATTCTGTATATCTGCTTTTTGAATTCTTGATAGTCTATCAGAAGATAGGCAACTTTTAGTCGTAATAAGCAGACGTGCTGCTGTTTGCTTGTGCATAAATTTTATTTTATCGCTGATTTTCACTTGAAAATAATGAGACTTTTTTGATGGATCGATTTGATCGAAAATTCTCATTCCTTGGTATGTATCTTTAGAAGCTACTAAACGGTAATCATTTGAATCATAGCAATCGCCACAATTTATAGCATCTTCCAAATTTGTTTGCATAGTTTCATCAGTTGAATCAGTATTGGCAGTAATGCTTTCATCGAAAGTATCATGCAGATCACATTCGTCGAAGTAGGAATAATCTACAGTTGATTTTTCATTAAGTTGCTTAAAAACAAATGCATTTAAATTATCGAAGTCATTTAAATTGTGTTTCTCGAGCATCGAAGATATTTGCAAAGCATTCATCCGTGATTCAGCTCGAACCCAGGTCAACAAATCCGATGCTGGATCCATGTATGGGATTGTTCGACCTGGGTTCCGCTGACGGTTTCATCTCAATATGGAATTCCTTGAGAATGATAACGTATCGTGCTGATCAATTCGTATCCACTCTGAAAGGAAAATATACGTATGATATTCTACTAAACTCCGGAAATCTTTTAATATACTTCCGTTCTGTCAAGTAATGCTGAAAAACTAGTCAACATGAAATCAGTGTACCAGACAGAATAGCATGTTTTAAGCGGTAAATACATCCTATATGCCCTATATAAGAATTACAACTGTTCGGACTATTCAGTTTGTCTGATTAACAAATTCAATTTCCGGACAATCAGTTGGTACCCAAAACATATAGAATTTCCCGCTAAACGCTAAAGCACATCGTATGGATTAATGAGAAGGATAAGTGCTCGATAAATATTCGAACAAACCTTCTCCTTCCGTTTAAAATATCGAATATATGGGAAATGAGAACGTCATGACATAATAGAGAAGTTAGAAATAATAAATAACGAATGTTCCTTTGATTATTATCGATTCGGTTAGACGAAAATGAAAAATACATGAAATCAACATAAGATCGAAGAAATATAAACGTGTTTGCACTCATTTTTTCTCTATTCAACGAAACAATGAACCGTCCGACATTCTAAAACAAGCAGACGTCAATAATTACTGTCGATAAAAGCAATTTATTCACCTTGTTTTCATCTATGTCGAATAGACGAAGAAGTAATAAACAAAAATAATTTGATTGAATTTTCTTTCATATTCCGGTAAAAACGGATTTAAACACAAAAAACGAAGAAGTGGAGATTCAAATGTTTGTTTATTATGGCAATTTTCATCGATAATCCGATTTGGTTGTTTTAGTAAACGTCTGTTCTATTCTGTATCCAATCAAATTGTAATTGGTTTATCATTTGTGTAATAACATGTCTTCTGATCATCACGGAATTCGTCATTGTTTGTATCAATGTTTTCAAACCAAAAGGTATTTTTCTTTCGAAATGAAAATCCAATGCGAACATTTTTCGTTACTACAAAAATGTGAATTAAAATTTGCTCGAGTAGCCACAGACACTATTAGCTATAATTATGGACCATCATCTGCTGCAATTGGTCCCAGGTCAATCATTCCGGCGACTGGATCCGTTGAAATCTGAGTCGGTTCCGGTACAGCTCTTCTCCATTCCGGCACAGTTTTCGCCGATTCCAGCAAGTTCTGGCAGGTTCCTTGCCGCCGGATTCCGGTCGGAATTGCACAGAAAATATCCGATCAGTTGCTGGCCGTTTCCAGCTCGAAGTTTGCAGGAAACGGTCGGGAAATGACTGGAACCTACGTTTGAACTTCCGGCCGGAACCGACCGTGTCATAATAACCTGGGTTGTATAATTATTGAACCAATTTTAAAATTTTTTCTGTATTATGATACTTGGTTAAATGCTTGTATTGCTATTGAAAGAGCTATGCAAGTTATACTAGGAATTTCTTTCAATAAAAATAAGAGCAAACGTATTGCTCGATGGATTATTATCATTTTACCAGTTTGTATTATGACTAGTCTTATTCATGAACCTTTACATCGAAAAATGTTTCATTATGAAACTGAAACTGAGAAATCTTATATCGATAAGACTAATGAAACGATTGTGGACATAATCGAACCTGTAACAAAAAATAAAACATTAATTAATACAATCTATCGAAGTACCACAACTCGTTATGTGTGGTGTGTGATTCATTATTCTTCTACTTTTGTTCAAGATTACAATATTTCTATTCTATTTTTTCATCTTATTGTTCCATTTCTTGCTAATTTATTATCTGCTTTAATTATTATTTTTGGAAATGCTCGACAACGATCACGAGCACAAATTAATCAAACCATTCAAGAACATGTTCGTCAACAATTAAATGAGCATAAACAACTACTCATTAGTCCTGTAGTATTATTAATCTTATCGATGCCTCGTCTAGTCATTTCAGTATTACCTGGATGTGTGAGAACATCACGTAATTTATGGTTATATCTTATTGCTTATTTCTTTTCATTCACACCATCAGTACTAACCTTTATAATATTTGCTGTACCTTCGAAGTTGTACATGAAAATATTTAGAAATACTCTTATTGCTTGGCGACATCGAACTCATCGTAAACTTAAGAACGTAAAGTAAAAACTGGCCATCTTCAATTGATGCTTGCTTTTCAAAATTGTTGTATCAATAAATTAATTCATATTTTATAATTGAACTCTAGTATACTTTTCAAATATATTGATAATCAAAGCAGTTTTTAACAAATTTATTCAACCTGGTTACAATTTGAGATTTGTCACGTCCTCGCAAATTGATCCTGAAAAGCTCATGCATCAAGCGATAATACCTCAAATCTATTTTCACCTAACAAATGATAAATTTATTTCATTTGATTATATACTTTCCCTTTTCTTCCAACTTTTGCTTACATATTTATATAAATCTTTTCTTTATTATAATCCAGAGTATGTGTTCTACCCAGATCATATTTATCTCCCTTTTCCGTTCGAATATTAACTAATGGTATTCATCTTCGAAACTTAGTTGTATTTTGCACAACAATACCATATATCCATTGATATTTACGGAGCCTATCTCTCTTCAGAACGATCCAATCGAGTCACTAGCATCAACACAATCATCATTTTAACTACAACATCAACCAATTATTATGAATTTGATCATTTTTAATTCAATAAGTCATCTGATGAGCTTCTTAGCAGAAGTGAAATCTAGATAATGGCAGCTAGTCTCATCCTCAAGATGTTTAAGATTGCTATTGACGAATAAAATTAATTAAACCCATTATTCATAGTATAAACGAAAAAAAACCTTGAGCGTACTAGAGTTCAAAACAAAAGCAGAAGCTGACAATATCTAAAATCAAATGTATGAAAAAATATTTTTAGTTTGATATTTCTAAAGTTGAAATTTGTCTTGTTGTTCTTCTTCTNACGCGAGGTATAATAAAAAATTAATTCTTACCTATTTCTCTTCTTGATTTTCGTCGAAGTAGTTTGATCAAACTTGGTACTAAGATTTTCAAAATAATCGTTAATCCACCGTAGAAACCAATCACTCTTCTTAAAATATCAATAAAACCAAGTCGTTGTCGAATAATATATGAGCAATATGCTGGGCTACATTGATTGTAATATGAACTATACGAATAATTTTCATTCCAATTTTCAATAAACAGATTTCTAATAAATGTCTCAAGTGTTTCATTTATGCTATATCGACTTGTTTCATTGTACTCCAAGGGTTTGAATTTTGTATAGACACCAAAATTCTCCCACGCGGGAACTTTGATATGGTGCATACATGTTTCATTATAAAAACATTCCATAGTTGACAGAAATAACATATCAATCGGATAACAACCACGGTAAATACCAGGCAGATTTATGTCCTCGCTTCTGTTTGTGTGTCGAGCGAACATTTGTTGCGGACACATGAGATCAGTTGCGCAAGAACATACTGAATTGTTATAGACAACGAAACTGTCTAGCATTAGAGTATCCAAAAGCATGTCATCAGTAATAAACACACCTCGAGGTGCATAACGTACTTTATTTCCCGCAATAACCCTTCGAAGTAAATTTAATTGTTCTTGAAAAGATTGTTCTGTTTGATCAATAAATAATCCTAAGAAGGAAACCATTTCTTGATTGAATTTATTCTCTTCCATAACTTCAGATGTAACATATTCTGTTTCAATAAGTTGTCCTATATTATTTGCAACTGTTTCTCTACTTGAATTGCACAAAGCAGATAAAATGACAAAAAAAGAATTTGCAATAACCTGAAAGTTTGCTCTAATATCAGACACGTATAATATGAACATGACACCATAGTCATAGTCGAGCATAGATATACCTGAACATACTTGATGGAATATTGGATTAAAACTAATGAATTCTGAATATTTTGTTGCGATGCGATCGCATGGACACTGAAGATTTGTCAATGACATATTTTTCATTTGTTCAAACTTAGTTTGTTCTGGATATGGGATAGATATTGTTTTTTCTTGATATTCTATTACTGTATAGGTTGTAAATATAATTAAACAAATAATTAATAGAAGAAAATAACTTTTTGTTGAAATACGTTCACTTTTTCGTCGATATTCATCGGATGAATAGCTATCGAAAATATTTACATTCCATAATACATTAACGATTGAACGAAATGATATTCGTAGACGAGCTAATCGTGGTACTAGATAAGGAAAAACATTAACTTTAAAAATCATATGGTCATCATTTACTTTGAATAATATTTGCATCTTCTGATTCTGTTCGTTTTTGTCTTCGAATAAATGTCACAATATTTGGTACAATTAATGTCAAAACAGCATATAATCCACCGTATACACTTAGAGAAGCAATTAAAATTTCATAAAAAGTAGGTCTTGTATCATGTGTATATTGAAAAAATAATGGTTGACATGAATTGAAATAATTTTCATATGATATCTTAACTATCCAATCCTCTATAAATAACTCTTTCGCTAAATTTTCATTAGTTATATTCCATATCGATAAAGATGTTTTTAATACTGTAAAGGAATTATTTTTTATCGCAGAATAATTTATATAAGGTATTAACTGATTGATACATGTCTCATCAAATAAACATTCATTTGTCGAATACAGCAAAGATTCAAATGGGGTACAACCTGCATTCATTCCAAGCACAAAAAAAATCTGTATCAATATAATTAGTATTTCCACTCATGCATAGTTCTTCTTTGTCTTCCCAGAAGAGTGATCCAGCACAGTCGTAACGATCAATATCTGCATAAATGCCTTCAGGTAACTGACGGAACTGGAAATTATCATGGAAACAGTTGAATACGGGAAATGCTGAAGCTCCTTCATGATACATAATCGTTCCCATATGCATCCACGTGCCATTCGGACTCCAATCTATAATTTTATATACAGAGCGTGTTTCGATTGCTGAAAATAAATGGTTTGCTATGATAGTTGATCTAATTAATCCTAATGAATTCTTCCACACTGATGTTATTGTTCGTTTATACATGTCTATAAATGCGTCTACTTGTATATGAAATGAACTATTCGAAATTATTTGATTTGTTATGAGTTGTTCTGAATAAAATTCTTCCAAATAATCATCAGTCATTGCTTTTGCTTGTTGACATAATGTTCGAAGAAGTTGAAATTTTGATGATGCACTACGACGAAAATCCAACTGATAAAAGTAACTAACATTTTCAAAAAAGAGATAATCAATCCA